AGGCAATTTGTGTATGTATATTTATATATATTAACATCATACTGCATAGATTTCTTGCACTCTTTGTTTACTCTATGCTTGGCCTTTACAGGGAAGTCGTTCTCAATCAAATAATCAGAAAGCTGTCTCAGCAGGTAGACTCCTATCTTTGATATTTTTTGAGTCTGTTTTTAATTCTTTCCGTGGAGGATGATCAATGTAGATTGTTCCAATTAATGGCTTTATTCTGATTTGGAAAATTGGGGGAAGTGAAATATAATGGTGTGGTTATGTAATACTTGATTGTTGAAGAATTCAATCTTCTTTTGTTAAGTTACCAGTAAATGCAAAAACTTGAACTTTTTACTTTTTGTCAGACAGATTTAAAAGGATAATTGTTGTTTGCCAATGGGTAGTATGAAAGTAGTTGTAAAAGCTCTAGATGGACTAGAATTTTGAACTTTAAATAGTTTATGGAAAGAGGATACAAGCTACAAGAGTTGCTGAATAATATAAGCATGTTTGTTATGTGTACTTGTGCAATGGCAATCCAGCATTCTGGCATAATTGTTAACAGGAGCAATAGCTTTGAAACTTGTAATGTAGGTGGTAATTCATCTTCAAGGACTTGGGGCTTTTCATCATTATTTGGGAGCAGGGCCCAATCTGGAGAGAGTTCAGCTAGTGGATCTCTTAGTGAAACTCTCCATAATGGGGAGCGGTTACCATCCACTATCTAGCTGAGAGAGGTATTAGAGTGCTGACAGCAGCATATTCATATATAATTTGTGATCTCTCTCTTCAATTTTTTCCTTTTTGGTTTTAATTAAATCACTTTCTCCTGCTCTCTCTTATCTTTTCTGGTAATCACAGCCCCCAGCCATCTTAAGGCCACTTGAAATGACAGAGCATGAAGCAGTTGAAATACATGTAACCAAATTGCTCTTGCAGTCTTACTATGACATTGTCAGAAAGAACATTCAAGACTTAGTTCCGAAAGCCATAATGCACTTTTTGGTAATTTTAATACCATCTTGTTTTTCATTTTCCAATTGCTCAGTTTTTATGATTTATATTTGGAGAACTTCCTCATATGCGTTTACTGAAGATATGTGTTCTCATTTTAATGTGCTAGGTCAATCATTCTAAAAGGAACCTTCATAATACCTGCATCCAGAAACTTTACAGGTATTCGCATGGTTTATTCTTTTATTTCTGGATGGAGGTATTTGTATTTTTTGGCAAATTTTTAACATGATATTTAGCAGGACCACCAGATATTAAGGCAATATGGATATAAGTTTTCTTAACAATGCATTAACATTTGTGAGGGTATACTTATAGCAAATTTTGATCCTGTAATTACTCAATATGCAGAGAAAACCATGTTGAAGAGCTGTTACAGGAGCAGGACGAGGTTGCTGCTATCAGAAAACGTATGCGGGAAGTTTTCCTTGTCTTGCAACAAGCTGTCCAGGTGGGTTAAAAAGATTTCAGATGGTTAGGGAGGTCTCTTGGTTGCTTATTCTCTTTATCATCTTTTGGACCTACTTATTGATAAGAAATTGGTTTGCATCATTAACTAACTGATCTCAAGTGGATGTAATGAGTCGTACTAGCTTCCTTGGTTAGAAATTTATAACATACTTTTGATCTGTTAGAATCCTCATTGATAATTGTCACAAAAGTTTTCTTAAAGGGTTTTTTATGGTTCAGCATGTAGAGATAGAGATACAATTGCAAGCTATTCTTATATTCATGTATTGCTTTGATTTTCATTTCATCTTCTGCTTTATCATATGGAAAAGCTCTTTATTACTGGCGTTAGGCTTGATTATTAAATTTTATTATTTTGTATATTTTGACTCAAAATTCTGAACTATTTTCACTTGGTTTTTTTAGACACTTGACGAAGTAGAATCAGATGTTTCGTCTGGAAGTTTGAATTCAAACTCTGGAGTTGAAACTCCCATCGGACTATCAAAAACCCCTGCATACAACACACGTTCCTACTCGAGAACAAATGGTGAGAGTAGATCATCATACAGAAACGCTAAAGCTCAAAGATTATTTTATTCGGAAGAGTCGTCGTTTCCTGGCAACTCAGCATGATGGAAGGCAATGACTATCAGACATGGGGTGAGATACCCAAATTTTGATTGAGATGGAGACTGTTAGGCTGATCATCGGAGAATAGCCTAATCTCAGGGTGTACAGTTGATTTATACGGCAAAAGTCAGCTAAGAACATTTGCTTGGTGCTTTAGAAAAGGATTTAGAGCTTTTCCGAGTAAAGTTATTGGTTTATATTCACAAGAGATTTAACATTATAATATGTATATGCTTGTATCTGAGATTCTGATTCAAAAGATCAGACCGAACAATTTGGATAGATATATGGTAAAAAACTATCCCTTCTATATTGCTCCAACTATTTATGGTTTGCTATATGTTTGGTGATTCACATTGTAAAGAGAAAAAGAATCTTAAAAGTTGAAGAAGATTAAGACGAGAAACAGGACCTACATTTGACAATCGACACTGTAATACAAGATGGTGGATATCGTTTGCTGATTCACAATCTCCTGTGTGTTCTTCTGAAGTTTGTGTTCATTGCAATAGCAGTTGAGCAAGCATAAACTCCAGCCAAACACAAGGTTGCAGAGACTACGAAGAAGGTCCTCCACTCCCTTCCTGAAGCTAGAATAGCCAAAGCAGAAAGTGCAAGAGCCGCTGCCACAAGTCCATTTTCCCAAGTGTTGAAGGCCTTGACAACGCTGCTGCAACCCTTGCTATGTATTACATGCCGAAAATATCGGTTTGCCAAATTTGGAGCATGCATTGTTCCCAGGCCACCCTTAGCCAGTGAAGAAGCTGAAACTCCCGCAACAAGCCCAGCCGGTGCATGTTTCACCACAGCAGGTTGTTTAGGCAGAGAAATGGTGCTGTGCCCAAAATGGTAAGGCATCCCGTGCCCAACTTTATCCATCCAACTTCAACTTCAACTTCAAAACATTATAGGGTGCGTTTGGTTTATTATTTTGGATAGGATTTTAGGAATAATATTGGATAATTGGATAGGAGAATATTACGAGGTAAACTTTAAAAATTTATGAAAAAGCCCATAGGTTTGCTAATTTAATTAAATACCCTAATATATAAAATGAAAAAAACACCCCCACCACTTGCAGTGCCAGATTCCGGTCACCACCGTCGGAATCTGGCCGAAAAATTTCGTTACAACACAGACCGGTTGGATTTATGTCGTAACGCGTCGCTATGGCGTTTTCCGACCAGATCCACCACGGATCTGGCTGGAAAAGGCCAGATCTACGGCTAAATATTGCCGTTGACGACCGAAAAACATCAAAAGAAGTCCATCTTTGGCCGTCAGCGATGGCCAAAGATATGGTCGTCGTTTACGGTAAACGACGGCCAAGCTAACGGCCAGATCTGGCCTTTTTCGGCCAGATCCGTGGTGGATCTGGCCAGAAAAGGCCAAATCAGTGAACTTTCGGCCATTTCTGGTCTGTAGGTAGGCCGTTGTACAGATTCTGGCTACCACCGACGGTGGTTGCCGGAATCTGGCAAGTATGGGTCGCGGGGGGTGTTTTTGCTAATTTTTAAACTTTTTTTCAGGGGGTATTTAATGAAATTAATAACCTTATGGGGTCTAAAAGTAATTAATAAAAATAGGGTAATATTTCTGGAATAATGTGTCAAACATTATTTGGAGAATATGATTGAGAATATGGGTAGAAATAATAAGCCAAACATGCCCATAACTTCTTTAATCCAGCTTCGGTTTGTGAATCGTTTGTTCCTTGTCGTCACTTTTTCCATCTCCAATGTTATTCTTCATCTAAATAACATCTTTAAGCATTGGAGACCTGACAACACTAAAAACATACTTGTGATCCCATAAAAAACAATTGTAAAATAATTAAATCAAATTACTCAATTTAAACCTAATTTCCTACAAATAATCTCCATAAATTACCAAGTAAATGTGTATTTTCAAGCTCTTATCAATTAGTCAATTAAGTTGTTGGCAGGGAGGCTCTTACCATGTGTTGCTCATTTTTATGTCCCTTTGGGGTCTAAACTCAAAGTAGTGGAAAGGCCACATTCTTACTTGTAAGGTCATATTCTAGGGTTTCCAATTATGGCTCATTCTACCACTAAATATGTTGGCGTGAGAAGTGGTTTGATTATTCTGAAAAAAATGAGGAATCCATTCCCACACGTTGCTTTTGATTCTCCATTCTTTTCCTTCTTTTTGTTGGGACCGATTTCGGTCTTTCTAGGTGGTTGAAATGTGTATGGAACCAAATACAGTGGATATTATCTGGCCCCTCCCACCATGAAATGAAACTTTTGATTGTGCTAGTTAGTGGCTTGCTCAAATAATGGACGGTGTGTTTAGGTTTTATTGGGACTCGCGATGAAAATGTATCTATTTTGTTAGGGAATATTCAGCAAAGAGTAATAAACAATGTTGCTAATGGGAAATATAGATTCTCAAATTTTCTTGATTCACATAAATGTGGATGAGGGAGAAATATAGACCAGTTCAGAAAAGAATGGCCAATATGAAAGCCTAAAAACTCGACATGACATATCACTTATTTCTCGTATGATTCTACAGGGTAGCATTCCGCTTAATTGCTGATAATCAATACTTTGTTTTTGTTAGCTGGAATTAAGCTTGAGATATGATCAATGTTTTAATGGGGAATTGCTTCACCATATGTTGCAAATATCTCTCACGTGGTTCAAAGCTTTACAACCCAATAAAGATTAAGCTTTGAAGAACAAAATGCAGAAATACTGGACTCAGTTAACTCAGGGTCCTCCACCAGAAATACTGATATGAATTATGATGTGATTGGGAATTACTTTGACATGGCCGGCCATTCCATAATGAACTTTACTATTTTTGTTTTTTCAGCACTTGTCAGCTTGAGAAAAATCGGATCAACTAGTTTGAGTTATAATTTATCTCGGAAAAAAAAAGTGGAAATGCAATACACGAGGCTAAGGAACCGTGTGTTTGATGGGAAAGGTAATAATTTAATTCGAGTATTTCCGGGCCCGGCTGCAACATGAAACTCGGCATGTAAAACATAGTGGATTGGATAGGATCCGATGCAATCAAATCCATTCTTAAAATCTAAGGATGGATTGGATTGAATTTTTGTGGATTATCTAATTCATAAATTTTGATTCCAAATGCTCTCTAGTTCGTACAATAATTAAGCCTTCATCTTCAATTGCTTATATAAGGACTGCCAAGATACAGCAGAGAGTGTGAGCTTTAGTTGGCTGTAAGAAACAAATTCCATATCGACCATGTACCTCAGGTTTATCATCCTGGTTTCAGTTCTTTCTTTGAGCCCTCTTTGTTCATCAAGCAACACTAATGCTGATAGCCACATTGTTTCGGTCCAATCTCTATTGCCATCTACTGTTTGCAACCGTTCGCCACCAGGTCATGCATAATACTATTACTAATATGTTCTATCAATAGATAAATCTCATCTCTCTGTTAGTTACTATTTGCACTTGAGAACATGTAAAAATTTCTCTTTATTTTACATTGAGTTGAGATGTGATCTTATGATACTTACTAAAACCCCGCATGTTTGTGCGATTCAGTTTCCAGGAAAGCGACTACTCTCGAAGTAGTAAATAAGTATGGGTCATGCTCTCAACTTACACGAGGGAAATCAAGCACTCCCTCTCTCTCCCAAATTCTACTCCAAGACCAATATCGAGTTGAGTTAATTCATTCCAGGCGGCGCAACCAATCAATTAAGACACAAGAGGAGTTTACCATCCCTACAATATCGGGTAATACTGTTGGAGCTGTTATTGTTACTTTATTAAAGTAAGCTTAGGTACTCCGAAACAGAGTGTTCCACTCGTAATTGACACTGGTAGCGCCATCACCTGGACTCAGTGCAAGCCCTGTCCAAAAACTGGTTGCGCAAAGCAAGTGGATCCCATATTCGACCCATCCAAGTCCAAATCATATAAGAGTATTTCGTGCAGCTCATCATTTTGCAGTCAAATTAATGGTAATTTTACTGAAATTTTGTTAGTACTACTGCAGTACTTGCTATTTTATTATACTTTCCATCAACGAAATTTTGTTATTGTCCTTGCAGGAGGAAATTGCACTTCCGAAAAAGCTTGTCCTGTAAGTTATAATTATGTCGACGGCACTTCACTGTCCGGCTCCTATGCAACAGAAAAGTTGGTCATAGAGTCAGCAGACAACCAATTGCAATTTACCGAGCCGAATTTTATTATGGTTTGTGCACACAACTACACTGGCGATGATGAAGGAGTGGTCGGGATAATGGGTCTCGATCGAAATGGATTATCTATTATATCACAAACTTCCTCTTTGTTCAAAAACTACTTCTCATATTGTCTGCCTGCTTTCTTCGGCTCCAGTACTGGATATATAACTTTTGGCAAGACCAATAGTTTCACAAACAAGGTGATTAACTTCACACCATTAACCACAGACTCTGAAACTTATGATGTTGAGATAACTGGACTGAGTCTTGGCGGACATAAACTACCGATTGACAGTCAGGTTTTCAAGAAAGCTGGAGGGACTATTGACTCCGGCGCAGTCATTTCACGTCTGCCACGCGCGGCTTACGCGGCTCTAAAGTTAGCTTTCCGTAAGAAGATGTCGAAATATAAGATGGTGAAACCGAGTGGCTTTCTGGATACATGTTACGATTTTAGTAAGTATGATACCGTTACAATACCAAAGATGTCAATATTCTTTAAAGGTGGTGTTGAACTGCAGATGGACGTGACAGGAATTGTGATCCCCTTCAATGAAGACCTGACAGAAGTGTGCTTAGCCTTTAGTACAAATCCTACTGAAGATGATGGGGCTTTAATTGGGAACATTCAGCAACAAGGGATGGAAGTGCACTATGATGTTGCTGGAAAAAGGGTAGGGTTTGGTCCCCGTGCTTGCTAAAAGAGTATTAATATTAATGGAAAAAGTTACCCAATTATTAAGGCTGTCCGTATACTCGCTAAATAAATTTGGGTGTGATCGATGTAATAACTAGCTAGCTGCGGCTCCTTGAGTCGTGCTGGGATCAATTAACTAATGGTCTTATATAAATATATCTACTTCCAAATGTTTTCTATGATATTTTGCTTTGTGATCAAACTTCAATTTATTTCATTAATCACACTGGATGAAAGAAGTTGCTAAAAGAATATTAATATTAATGGAAAAACTTCAATTTATTTCATTCGTGTTGTGATTTTTGCAAGTGTACGAAATCGTACAAATAATAAAACATAAGTATACGGATGTTGACAAAACATATCACTTATTGTTGATAATACTCTGTTTTTTTAAGCTAGAATTAAGCTTGAGATATGAAATGTGGACGAGGAAGAAATACATATCAATTCTGATTCTACAGGATAGCGATCCGCTTAATTGTTGATAATGACAATGCACTGTTTTTTTTAGCTGGAATTAATTAAGCTTGAGATATGATCAGTGTTTTAATGGGGAATTGCTTCACCATATGTTGCAGATGTCACTCTGGGTGCTTCCTTGCAGAAGTTGAGATGTCACTTCATAGCGTATGTTGCAAACATCTCTCTCCTGTGGTTCAAAACTTTTCAACCCAATAAAGATTAAGCTTTGAAGAACAAAACGCAGAAATACTGGACTCAGTTAACTCAGGGCCCTCCACCAGAAACTAAAGTGATTTTCGATTTTTCCAGTACTCTTTTATTTGATCAAGATTTGAACTAATTATAGACTGGTTCCACACTGATATGAATTATGAAGTTATTGGGAATTACTTTGACATGGCCGGCCATTTCCATATAAACTTTACTATTTTTGTTTTTTCAGCACTTGCAGCTTGAGAAAAATGGGATCAATTAGTTTGAGTTATTGGTCGGAACACACCAATTGGTGCATGATCGATAAGATTCAGCCGATCGTACATCGTTTAATGTCCGCGGTGACTAGCGGCTAACGGGTTTTTGGCAGCAACTTAGCTTAGATGGGTAGGGTGTTTTGTTAATTTATAAACTTTTATTGTGAAAAATATTATTAAATTTTGAGTTAAATAGAATATTATTAGATTTTGAATTAATAATAATATTAAAACCAATACGTTTTTGTATTGTTTATATAAGATACTAAATAGAAAAAGTTTAAAAAGTTGAACAAACAAAGATAAATCATTACTTTGAAATAACTGTATGTATCTTGTCGTTTATGACTTTACTTTAAAATGATTGTACTATCTTGTCGTCTATGACTTTACTTTGAATAACTGTACGTTTCTTGTCATCTATAACTGTACGATCTTGTTGTGTATGGAGCTAATGAGAAAACAAAGTGTCCGCACATTCGAAAATCAAGTAAAAGGAGACTAGCTTGCACTTAATGCGATTAGATTTTACGGTCTCCTCCAATGCTTGCACTTAATGCGATTAGATTTTACGGTCTCCTCCAATGCTTCGGCCAGCTGCTTATATAAAGCAACCCAGAAACAAGTTTGCACGTTCTTGCTAGTAAGCCTAAGGTTAAGCTTCTTCCCTTTCCACTTATATCTCCATGTTTCTCAGGTTTCTCCTCCAGCTTTCTTCTTTTTTTATGTCTTCTCTGTTCTGTAAAGAACAGTTATGCTAAGCAAGCGAAGCCCAATGCTCTGATGTCACATTGTTGAGTCAGTTCTCTATTGCCTCCAACTGTTTGCAACCGGACTTCCACCAAAGGTTCTATACATTAATTATACACAGTTTTTGAATTTTCATAATTAATTAAAAAGGCTATTATTTTGTTGTAATTATTATTGAGAGTCTGACAGAATATTATGTCTTGCTGTTTCAGTTCCAAACAAAGCATCTCTAGAGGTTGTCAGCAAATTGGTCCATGCTCTACCATAAATGAGGGCAAAGTAAAATCTCCAAATTACACGGAAATTCTGCCAAAGACCGAGCCCGAGCCAAATCCATTCAATCCAGAATCTTCAAGCCCAAATTCTGGTAGTGATGATGATGACCATTTAAAGCGAACAAAGGCTTAACAGTCGGTGCCGTGCCTTTTCTATCAAATGGGGAGTTCTATGTTACTGTATTCCTGGGAACGCCAAGACAAGTTGTTACTCTCCTTTTGGACACTGGTAGCGACATCACTTGGACGCAGTGCAAGCCATGCCTTAAATGTTTTAAACAAAAAACCCCGTTATTTGATCCACCAAATCCTCGACTTATTCTTCCGTTCCATGCCGGTCGAAAGCCTGTTTACCAGTAAAATACCTTAATATTTATTTTATTTTATTTTAAATGTATCTCCGTCATGAATTTAAAGATAGATGATCGCGTGCCCCGATTCTTTTTGGAACTAAACTATTCTTGTAACAAGAAATTTGTTGATTCTGTACATGCAGATTTCGAACCAGCTTGCAGTTCCAATACGCTTCTACGGTATTCTCATCGGTACGGTAGTTCCAATGGCCACGTAGCAACTGAAAAGTTAACCATAATGAATGGCTTGGCACATTGTCAAATCCCCTTACATTTTCGGATGTGGCACTAATATTCCGCCGATATTGATGGTAACTGGGTTAATGGGTCTCGCTCGAAATCCACATCCTTTATATCACAAACTTACCAAAATACTTTTCTTACGGCTATCCGTCTCTTATGGTTCCACTGGATACATAACCTTGGGCAAATCTGATGACGATATCAAAAACAAATTCGTCAATTCACTCCAATAACCACTTCTCCCAAACAGTCATTGTTTTACGATATTATGGTAACTGGAATGACCATCGCTGGAAAAGCTACCAGTAGCCAGTTCAGAGTATACTAAATTCGAAACGTTTACCGATTCTGGAACAACCTTCACGGCTCTGCCACCATCCCTGTATGTGGCCCTGAGATCAGCTTCCGTAAGCAAATGTCAAAATATAAGATGATAAAACCAGTGACGATGAACTTGATACTTGTTATGATTTTCGCAGTTATGATGAAGTTGTAATACCAAGATTTCTTTCTTCTTCAAAGGTGGGGTTGAATTGGAGCTGGATGTGAAGGGAATTATGGTGGTATATAAAAAGGATTTAGCCAAGTGTGTTTAGCTTTTCAGACAGCAGACCTGATGACCCTAATTTTATTTTGGGCAACAGTCAACTAAGGGGAAAAGAGGTCCACCATATATTGTTGGACAGAGGGTTGGGTTTGGTCCCGGTGGTTGCAGCTAAGCTCAGCTAAAGAGGAATGATCTTCCAACTTAGCACTTGAAAATTAAGAAGCTGAAATTCTCTTGCTTAAATTTATGTTTTGAATAATGTATTCCTAGTTTAATGCTTGTACTTCAAGAAACTTGAATAAGTTTGTTATGCGCGATGCGCAAGTTTAAGTATAATCCTTGCATGTTAACTCTACCATTTTGTTATCATAATTGTTAAAGAAGCATACAACTGTGACAACCGAATCATATTCTACACCTGCTCCATTTAATATGTCATATGAAATCTGTTAAACATGAGATCATCCGAAAGCAAAATTGTGCAGACCTGATTCTAATCAGTAGTAATAATTCACAAGTAAATACGAGGTAAAAGTAGTAGAGAAAATTAACACAAGGATTTTAGTAGTTCGGTAATCACTTAGATTACCTCATCTACTATTCAGGGCAATAAGAGCCATTCACTATGAGAGTAAAGAAAACCTTACAGAGATTGATGCTCTCTCCTTTACCAAAATCGTTTAGATTTATATTTGGAGAACTTCCTCATATGCGTTTACTGAGAATATGCGCTCTCATTTTGTGCTAGGTCAATCATTCAAGGAACCTTCATAATACCTGCATCCAGAAACTTTACAGGTATTCGCATGGTTTATTCTTTATTTTGGATGGAGGTATTTGTATTTTTGGCAAATTTTTAGCATGATATTTAGCAGGACCACCAGATCTTAAGGCAACATGGATATAAGTTCTCTTAACAATGCATTAACATTTGGGTGGGTATACTTATAGCAAATTTTGACCCTGTAATTACTCAATATGCAGAGAAACCATGTTGAAGAGCTTTACAGAGGCGGGACGAGGTTGCTGCTATCAGAAAACGTATGCGGAAGTTTTCCTTGTCTTGCAACAAGCTGTCCAGGTGGTTAAAAGATTTCATGGTTAGAGAGGTCTCTTGTTTGCTTATTCTCTTTATCATCTTTTGATATACTCTTGATAAGAAATTGGTTTGCATCATTAACTAACTGATCTCAAGTGGATGTAATGAGTCGTACTAGCTTCCTTGGTTAGAAATTTATAACATACTCTTGATCTGTTGGAATCCTCATTGATAATTGTCTCAAAAGTTTTCTTCAAGGGTTTTTTTATGGTTCAGCATGTGGAGATACAATTGCAACTATTCTTATATTCATGTATTGCTTTGATTTTCATTTCATCTTCTGCTTTATCATATGGAATAGCTCGTTATTACTGGCGTTATGCTTGATTATTAAATTTTATTATTTTTGACTCAAATTCTGAACTACTTTCACTCGGCTTTTTTAGACACTTGACGAAGTGAATCAGATGTTTCGTCTGGAAGTTTGAATTCAAACTCTGGAGTTGAAACTCCATTGGACTATCAAAAACCCCTGCAACAACACACGTTCCTACTCGAGAACAAATGGTGAGAGTAGATCATCATACAGAAACGCTAAAGCTCAAAGATTATTTTATTCGGAAGAGTCGTCGTTTCCTGGCAACTCAGCATGATGGAAGGCAATGACTATCAGACATGGGGTGAGATACCCAAGTTTTGATTGAGATGGACTGTTAGGCATCATCGGAGAATAGCCTAACTCAGGGTGTACAGTTGATTTATACGGCAAAAGTCAGCTAAACATATGCTTGGTGCTTTAGAAAAGGAAAGTTATTGTTTATATTCACAGAGATTTAACATTGTAATTGTATATGCTTGTATCTGAGATTCTATTCAAAAGATCAGACCGAACAATTGGATGATATATGGTAAAAAACTATCCCTTCTATATTGCTCCAACTATTTATGGTTTGCTACATGTTTGGTGATTCACATTATAAAGAGAAAAAGCTTAAAGTTGAAGAAGGTTAAGAGAAAAGGACCTACATTTGACAATCGACACTGAAATACAAAACAGTAGGTATCGCTTTGCTGATTCACAATCTCCTGTGTGTTTTATGAATTTGTAGTGTTCAATTGCAATAGCAGTTGAGCAAGCATAAACTCCAGCCAAACACAAGGTTGCAGAGACTACGAGGAAGGTCCTCCACTGCCTTCCGGAAGCTAGAATAGCCAAAGCAGAAAGTGCAAGAGCCGCTGCCACAAGCCCATTTTTCCAAGTGTTGAAAGCTTTGACAACGCTGCTGCAACTCTTGCAATGTATTACATGCCGAAAATATCGGTTTGCCAAATTTGGAGCATGCATTGTTCCCAGGCCACCCTTAGCTGGTGAAGAAGCTGAAACTCCGGCAACAAGCCCAGCCGGTGCATGTTCCACCACAGCGGGTTGTTTAGGCAGAGAAATGGTGCTGTGCCCAAAATGATAAGGCATCCCATGCCCAACTTTATCCATCCATTTCCTGTATTCGGCAACCCATGTATCTGAGGACCTTAAATTAAGGTACAATTGCTTTGTAGGTACTTTTTCTTTCATTAAAACCTCATTTTGGGATGAGAGAAACCCCATATCTTGCTCAAAAACCTTGCTTGCATTCTGATGGAAGTACCATTTAGGTAAAATCTTTGACAAGGGCGATCTTATAGTAGCTCCAAACCTTACAATAAGCATGGATTTTCCCTGTCCTGTTGGTCTACAAAGGAAGAGACCAGTGAAGTAATGCTTCACTCCATCCTTGCCAACGAATTCTCTGTTATTCTGAAGATTACATGGTGCTTCAAAGCGTAAGAAGTTTGGCCTGGAACCATCTTTTTCCTTCCCCCACCAGCCTGCAAATCCGCGGTCTGAACGTTCAGTCACCTCGAAAAGAAGCGGTTGGGCATCTTCTCTTTTCGCAGTCCAGTCTGTCCGATCATGTGAGATGGGAATATGAGCTGGATCCATTAGGTTCTCAAGGAGTATAGAGTGATCATAAGGAAGCTCATGGATTGTTGAAGTGTCTTGAAACCCTGGCCTGGCAAAGTTCTCAAACCATGGAATTTTACCAAAGTTTGGCGGTGTCTTCTGTGACATCCATACCCACACAACTCCTTGTGATTCCTTCACCTCATAAGTTCGAACACAAGCTGATTTAGGAATTTTGGCGTCCGCCGGAAGCTGAGGTATCTTAACACATTTACCCTCGCCTTCAAATTGCCAACCATGATACAAACATTCAAGTCTTCCATCAACCAACTGGCCTTCAGAAAGTTTTGCTAACCTATATCAACCATAGCTCAGCTCAATCAGAGATTTGAAATGTAAAGATACAAAATTTATCATCATATCTAGTTAAAAAGATTCACAAAACTAGACAAATAAAATTATACCTGTGGGGGCAGCGATCTTGAAAGCAGCGAAGCTCCCCGTTGCCATCTTTGTACAAGACGATTTGCTTATCAAACACAGTAAGACCTAAAGGTGCATCATCCGGGACATCTTTAGTGAGGTAAAGTGGGTACCATTCTTCAGTCCAATCATAGTCCGCCACTAATCTTTCTCCTCTCCTTTCCTCTTCACTGGAAGGACCCACAAGAACCTGATGATCATCTTCCGTCACACTACTGGTACTTATATCAGCCACTGCATGACATTTTGGGAAGCTGGTTCTTACAGCAGTTGTTGATTTAAGATGTTTCTGGAGGGTTATAGTTGTAGTAGGCTTCGGTGTAGGGAAGTTGAAGAGAGAAGTGGAGCGAGGAGAAACAAATGGGTGCAATGACAAAGCCATGATGGGGTGTTGAAGAAGGTGAAGAGATGAAAGATGAGAGGGAGAGGGAGAGGGAGAGGGGTGGAGAAGAAAGAAGAAACAGAGCCATGTGGAAGAGAGAAATTCAAAGTGAAACAGTGAGTTGCTTTCTGGATGGATACACGGTGCCCCACTCCTAGCCACACAATCTGGGCAAAGTGCAAGCTTTACAATTACGTAACCTCTTGTCGTATAAATCTTCGGTACATTGATTAGGTGAACAAAAGAGAAAATAAATTGGAAGCTTTATGTCGAGAAACGACGCCGTTTCATAAGTACTGGCCCATTATTTGAAGCTTAAAGGCCCATGGTTGAATCTTGGACACTATTTCGGGCCCAAATCAGTACCAAGATAAATAATCTTTGTCCTTCAATGTATAAAATAAAGAAGACCGTTGGATCAGATTCACCAACACGTGTCAAACCAAAAGAGAGTGAAAGAAGGGACAGTATCAGAACAGAAATACGAGAACCAAAGAAGCAATAGGTTTTGCTTAAACCCTCTGGAGTGGAGGAAATAACAGTGAAAATTTTTAATTAAGAAAATGAGGATCGCAGTAGAAGGATGCATGCATGGAGACTTAGACAACGTCTACAAAACCCTCCAATACATGGAGCAAATCAACAACTACAAGATCGATCTCCTCCTATGCTGTGGCGACTTTCAGGTTAATTCAGATTCACATTTTCGGATTTTCATTATTTTAAATGGACAGAGTGAGAATGGGTTTTGTTTTGGAAATTAGGCCGTGAGGAATGAGGCTGACATGGAGAGCTTAAACGTGCCGCGTAAATATCGCGAAATGAAGTCGTTTTGGAAGTACTATTCGGGTCAAGAAATCGCCCCAATTCCCACCATTTTTATCGGTGGAAATCACGAAGCTTCTAATTATTTGTGGGAATTGTGAGTATTTTTTTTACTATTTTTTTTTAAGTAATCATAATCAGTTAGGAGCCCAAAATATTTATTTATTTTTTAAATTTTAAGGTATTATGGGGGATGGGCAGCGCCTAATATATACTTCCTAGGATTTGCTGGAGTGGTTAAGTTTGGTGGCATTCGTATCGGTGGACTTTCTGGAATTTACAATGCGCGCCATTTTCATTTAGGTTGGTTACTTTGTGAATTGATTATGTGTTAGTCTTTGATATTTTTTGTTATAATTATGCCTTCGTGTGGAAGTTAATTATGTTGTGTTTGTGCCAGGACACTTTGAGAGGCCTCCTTATAATGAAAGTACTATTAGGTCTGTATATCATGTTCGTGAATTTGACGTGTACAAACTCTTGCAAGTTGAGGAACCAATTGATATTTTTCTTTCGCATGACTGGCCTCGTGGTATTACTGATTTTGGGAACTGGAAGGAACTTGTTCGGTATAAAAGACATTTTGAAAAAGAGGTGATTATAGTTTTTTTAGTTTGAGGAGACAAGCCTGTGGTGCTCCTTATTTTTGGTCACATTTTTAGATTGAACAATGACTTATCTTGATCATGTATGTGGTTGGTGATTATGTTCAGATTCAGGATGGAACTCTTGGAAGTGAAGCTGCTTCTCAACTGTTGGAGAAGTTAAAACCTTCTTATTGGTTTTCTGCTCACCTACACTGTAAATTTGCAGCTGCTGTTCAACATGGAGAAGGTGGTACAGTAACAAAGTTTCTTGCACTTGACAAGTGTCTTCCAGGACGTAGATTTTTACAGGTATGCATTATGACCTGTAGTTGTTTATTACAAGGGTAGCCTTGTCATTATAGCTGGAACTTGAAGCTAATGTTGTCGGTTCTGGCATTTGCTGAATTTTTAGGTTTTTGAACTTGAATCAGAGCCGGGACCTTATGAGATTCAGTATGATGAAGAATGGTTGGCCATAACACGGAAGTTCAACTCTCTATTCCCTCTGACCTATAAAAGCGCAAATTTTGGGTATAATGTTTGAGAATGTATATAAACTTTTGATTTCACAATGCCCTTTTCTTGGTCTTTATTCTGGGTTCTGTTATTGTATAAGAAGCAGCAGGTGATCCAGTTTCTGATGTTGCAGGGATGTACAGCTTGACATGCAAGATTCTCGTCAATGGGTCAGGAGCAGGCTACAAGGAAGAGGAGCTAAACCTTTTGAGTTTGCTCGCACAGTCCCTTGTTACAATCCCTCTCAATCTGTGTCTATTGATTCTTTGTCTGGTAATAATTTATACATTGTTACCTCGTTCTTAACAATGGTAGTTCTGTTATTTGTTGTATTACATATTATCTGGACCAAACACTTCAAAATCTTTTTAATAAAATTTTCTAGATAATTGTATGGCATATGGTAGTTCAACAAACAAAAATTTGGAGCAATATGCTGATGCTTTGCTTTTTTATTTCATTATCATTTATTTATCTTTTACTTTTGCAGAAAACCCTCGGAATCCACAAACGGAGTCTTTCTTGCTGTTACTAGAACTTCCAAATCTTCTTGACAATGCACAGAATCCTGCTTCATCAAGTCATATAGGTCAACATTCTATTATTGTTGCTTGTTATGCTTCACTCTGGTTTTGCTGCACTGCTCTATATAAAAGTTTTTGGTCATACTTAGAATCCCTTGATTAGTTGGTTTAATCTCTTGTTGAGGTGATTGATCAGTGTGATGCGCTTAATGAAAATAATTATTGATATATGTGCAGCTCCTGATATTGACTCTGAAGAAATTCCCATTGATGATATCGATGATATAGAAGAACTTCCAGAAGGTGATGACTTGAACTAAGAATGAAAAGCTGTGAAGATATCTGTGTTTAACTCATAAGATATTCTTCAAACAGAAAGCTCTGCCATACCTCTCAATCAATCCGAGGAATGGAATGGAAGGGCCTCATCGGCTGATTTCTGTAAAAAGCTTGTTTCTTAGAGTGGATAAAAATTGTTCAATTGCTCTTCTAATTGACTAGATAAGTTGGCTTTCGGCAGTTCCTTGAGGTATATATGTAACTGAATTACCTAACTAAACGTGAAATAAACTCAAAAATAGCTCAGCCAGTTGATTGTCAAGTTTCTCAGTTAATTCCAATTTGTATTCGGCAGGTTTTGTAAAAATCCTTGACATGATTAAGTTCGTGTATACCAAGACACATAATTCCATTCTCTCCAATGCCTTGTATATATTTTTACTTAAACCAAATTCATCCGATTACTTCAAGGATGAACCTAATCCTGAATATGAACCATAAAAGAAAATGCCTATTAAACCTATCACAAGAATACCAGTTACAATACCTATTATCCAAAGAGAAATCCTTCCGGTAGCATCGGCCATTTATCCCGCTTCACTTCACATTTCATCAAGTGGTCATGCTAGAGACATAAACAGTCATAGATAATTATAAGATGCAATCCATCCGAATGGGATAAAACCAGTAAGTGGTGTCTTTAATCTTGAGATGAAAAAAGTACATAGACTGAAATATTTCTAATCTTAAGGGTTCTTAAGAATACTTAAAGCTTTTTAATATCTTGATTCCTGAAATATTCTATTAAAATTTAAAAGCCCTCGGCCTCCTCCCAAATGGATCCTCTAAGATGAAAAACTACATAAATGAGAGTCAGAGACTATAAAGTCAGCCAACGAGTTGCACTAGTGATAGTGAAGAATTTATGTAAGACATGTAGAAACAGAAACCAAGTTGTGGGTCAAGGCAGCAATTAATTTCAGCTCGACCATGTCATGCCACCTAGTGCGGCGGTTTCGTCACTTTCGTGGGACACCTTGAAAATCATCTTAAATGCCTGGGCGTAGTGCAGTGCTTCTTCTCTTTATAATCATTAATCACTCACAAATATTAGATGTGTCACTTCAAGCCTTCCTTCTATCTACCGTCTGACATGACCGAACCACATAAATGAGGCTTTAAATATGCTTTGACAAATACACGGCTTTCCATTTTCTGATACTTGTTTGTGCATAAGATAAGAATGACTAAGCTAAAACCATCCTCTTCAAGCTTCAGAGTTTCCATGGAGACAATACTACTTGTTTTTTCTGCTACAGCTAAACTATACAGCCTTCTTATATTTTTGATAGTCGTTCTTGTCGCTTCTCCTTCTTGTGCCGATCTCTCTTTCAACTTCTATGCAGCTTCATGCCCCACTGCTGAGTTCATGGTTAGAAACACAGTGAGATCAGCTACCTCTGTTGACCCAACCATCCCTGGGAAGCTTCTTCGCTTGGTTTTCCATGACTGCTTTGTGAATGTGAGTCCTTTTATTGCAACATTTTTATATAACGTCCTGGAAACAGTTGGATGTTTAATGGATGAGCTGTGTAAACTTTGATTGAAAGGTTATCAATTTTAGTTTATTGCTTAGGACTTTACTCTTTCAGAATCCAACACATTCTGAACTGATAAAGATGTCACTTAAAATTGACTATATGTGCCATATAACTTGAGAAAAGGGCTGTTAATAGGAGCTATATATACATCTATTAAATAGAGATTGCCATTTGGTTTATTTGAAGATTAATTGTATGTCATGTTACCAGGGCTGTGATGCATCTGTGCTGATACAAGGAAATGGGACAGAGCGAAGTGATCCGGCGAACACCTCTCTTGGAGGATTTTCAGTTATTGACTCAGCGAAAAGAGTACTTGAAATATTTTGTCCAGGAACCGTTTCTTGTGCTGATATTCTCGCTTTGGCCGCAAGAGATGCTGTTGAAGCTGTAAGATGTTTCTCTCATTTAGTGGTTTCTGTTTCTTTGTCATTTTATCGGCTCTCCATTCACGAAGACTTGAAAACAGGCAGGTGGACCAGCATTTCAGATTCCTACAGGTAGAAGAGATGGCACAGTATCCAGAGCAGCAAATGTCAGATCCAACATTGTAGATACAAGTTTTACAATGAATGAGATGATTAAAGTCTTTTCATCCAAAGGGTTGTCCCTGCATGACCTTGTTGTTCTATCAGGTATATTTTAGTTTCATTTTGATGGTTTTCTTTCTATTATGGAACATTTTCTGAGCAAGTAAGAAGTTTATAATTTGCTTTGGCTATCCAGGAGCTCACACAATCGGATCAGCTCATTGCAGCGCTTTCAGTGAGCGGTTTAAGGAGATCTCAAAGGGGAAACGCACACTGATTGATGCATCCCTTGACAAGAGCTATGCGGATGAGCTAATGCAAAAGTGCCCTGCAGGTGCAAGCTCATCTGTAACTGTTAATAATGATCCTGCGACATCATTTGTCTTCGATAACCAATATTACCAAAATCTGATAGCGCATAAAGGGCTCTTTAAATCAGATTCAGTTCTTTTAACTGATGAAAGAACAAGAAAAACATTGGAGGCTTTTGCAAATGATCAAGACAGTTTTTTCCAGAGCTGGGGTCAATCATTTTTGAAGCTTACTAGCATTCAAGTAAAGACCGGTGAGGAAGGGGAAATTCGACAGACTTGTTCACTCACTAATGGTTGAAGAAGATTAAAGAATCAAAGCAAACTTCATTCTCAAAATCGAACAATGGTTCAACTGCACATCACCTCTTGCGTACATAATCATAAATAGTTCTTAGTCTCAAACTATCAGTTGGGAAGTCTTTTTTATTCATTTGTTTTGCAATTGTTGCTGTGTTCGTTTTGTTTTGATTGTTTTCTCTATTTTTGTTTCTATTACATAGAAATGTAGTCAGCAACTAATTGTAAGGTTAAGACAATAATCTAATGCATTATGTAGCGTTTACTCGAACTGCAACCTGTTTAAAGATGGAATGTGATCGGATCATACAAGAGATCTAACTCTCAATAAGGGAGACATCATAGACATTTTAGTGATATAAATACACCACTTGAACAATGGCTGAAAAATGGGAAATACAACCCATAAGATTGAGTGCTTCCCCTGCTTCTCTTCTAAGCTGAGTAATAGGCTATTACTAATAGTAATTTGAATCAAGAATGTAAAGACCTAGGAACAATCAGAATTTGAAGAACTGCGACCCAAAAATGAATCTATCGTCAGAACCTTGGTATAGATAATCTGAAACGCCATAATCTTGATTTAGATTGATAAGTTTCGTGGAAGAACGCCACAAGAATTGGTGATTCTTGATGAGTTCTAGAGATAAAGATGCAATCTTTAAAAAAATGAAATATTTAGGGCATGTTTGGCTTATTATTTCTGCTCATATTCCCAATCCTATTCTCCGAATAATGTTTATTCCAAAAATATTACCTTATTTTTTTAATTACTTTTAGACCCCATAAGGTTATTAATTTCATTAAATACCTCCTAAAAAAAAGTTTAAAAATTAACAAAAACACCCCCGTGACCCATACTTGCCAGACGGTGGTAGCCGAAATCTGCCACAACGGTGAATTACCGACCAGAACTGGCCGGTAATTCACCGATCTGGCCTTTTCCGGCTAGATCCATAGTGGATCTGGTCGAAAAAGGCCAAAGATGGCCGTCATTTTGGCCTTTTCCGACTGTCGCAGCCACAGTAGGTCGTAAATCTAGCATTTTCCGGCCAGATCCATGGTGGATCTGGCCGGAAAAGGCCATAATGACGCGTTACGACACAGATCCGATCGGTCTGTGTCATAACGCGATTTTTCGGTCAGATTCCGGTGGTGGTGGCCGGAATCTAGCACTGCAGGTGGTGGGGGTATTTTTGTCATTTTATATATTGGGGTGTTTAATTAAATTAGTAAATCTAAGGGTTTTTTTTTTAAATTTTTAAATTTTACGTCGTAATACTTTCCTATTCAACTACCCAATAGTATTCCCAAAATCTTATCCAAAATAATAAACCAAACGCACCCTTAGTTATTCCTTTGACTAAGTGCCCGGCCAAAACAACCTATAACTATATATAACTAACTAATTAGCCCAAAATAAGGCTAACAACTCATTAATAGGTCTTAACCCTGATAACTAACCCAAACCCAACTAATAAAATAATAAAAAACTTGGGTTCTAGTAAATAATTAGCTCCAGCCCATTATACTAAAATAAGTCTTAAAATAACTTAAAATAACACATATAAAATAACAATTATTAAGCCCCATGAACAAAGGCTTGGACGCCAACTTGGATCCAATTAGGGTTAGCAAGAATCGGTCTTTAATTCCTCAAACTTGGACTTGGGCTTCAATCTTGTTAATAATCTTTTTGGATCTCTCTAAAGTCTAAGGCATACTCGGCCTCATGCATTGCTCTCTTGGCTTCAAGTTCATCAATTACGTTTGACAAAATAAGTTGTATCTTTTTAGCTTGACTTCTCGTAATCAGGCCCATCGGAATGCGAAGAGGATCTTGTGTTGACTTTACGACAATAAGCTGCTCGGTCATGTTCTCATCAGAACACTGTTAAGAAGCAGCAACTCATCAACAGACCGTCATCAGCTTAAGTATTGAAACCGGTATTTCTTCTTAAGTTTTGTATTTGGATTGGTCAATTTTTGAACAGCCTCTGCCATCAACTAAGTTTTGCTTAACCAATAAGAATAATTCTTCAATTGAGACTTTCAACATGTTGGCCTACCACGATTTGGCGAAATGGCTTTTGTCTTTCGTTTATCATTCATTCAATGTCCTGAATATTATTATAAGCATAATTTGATGAAATTGTTTTCTTCTTGTTGAATATATTTATGAAATCAAATAAACAAATCACTTGCTTTAATTTTCAAGGACATGGTTGTCAGAGGTATGTACTTAGGCGTTCAAATTTTATATTTAAGTTTAGATGAACTGTGGTTGACTTTGGCTTCCTAAACGATGTTGATGCAATCTACAATTGCAGAAATTTGTTTGCAGGAACCCCATTAAATCTTCACAAGAAATTAACTAAAATTTTGTTTCAAAATCTCATCTAAATTGCAGAAAGATTAGCCTAACATTGTATTATATACAAACAAAAAAGAAAGAAAAAGGGAATAAGGTGGGAGTTCCACTGCCTCTGACTTTTCAATAGTTAGATAAGTGGATTGCCACATTGTTCATCTATTCTGTAACTGAAGTTCGGGTTTAAGTCAACCATTTGATATGAGCTGTAAACCTTTAATAATATTTTTCTTGATGGTTTTCAGTTTTTTATTTTTATTTTTAATTATTATTATTGATGATATCTCTTCTCTCTGTATTGGTGACCAAGTCTTTTTAAACAAAATAATCTTTGGAGGGTTTTCAATGGTTTACTCTTCTGTATAAGTGGATCATTGGCACTCTCTTCTCTTGAGCAAAGCGAGCATGACGTTCAAAGTTTTAACTATATCGTTTACATATGAGAGCGCTCCCAAGATCGGTCCCAAGTTCGAGAAAGGAGATATCAGTGAGTGGTCCGTTGATGGCTCTTCTGATGCTATTGTCCGTACTTTCTTCTCTATCTCATTCCCTAATATATTTTTTTTTTTCTTGTTTTTGTTTTAGTCTTCATTTACTTCTTTATGCTGTATTATATATGAATTTAACATAAAAAATCTTTCTTGATTGGTAGAAGTCTGTAAAATTTTTGTATTTTAGCAAAATTATTTGAGAGAGAACAAATTCCATGATCCAGAGTGCCTTCTACTTCTAATAAGCCATGAATTAGATTAGAATCATTCTCAACGACTCCTGAACAACGTATTTTGATAGTACAATGGAATGGAAAAGTTGAATAATTGATCATTGATTTGAGCAGGTTAATCCAACCAATAAGCAAATGGTGACAGATGGTGGAGGTGCTGATGGAGGTAGTCATTTCTTACTTCATACCATAAATTTTTTTATTGGAACAAACTTGTAATGACCTCAACACACATTGTGTTTAGCCATTCATAGGGCTGCAGGAAGACAACTCCAGCAAGCTTGTTTAAACTTCCCACAAGTCCGTCCTGGAGTCCGCTGCCCCACTGGAGAAGCAAGAATTACCCCGTAAGTTATTCCACCATAACTTCTATTATCTTTTTCCATAATCAGATTCAGAATACTAATTAACAGATTGAAACTATCCAGAGGTTTTAAATTGCCAGCATCTCATGTGATTTTTACCGTTGGCCCTATATATCATGTTGATCAAAACCCTGAAGCCTCCCTGAGAAGTGCATACAAGTATGCTTAGTTGAATTTATTTATTTATTTATTTTTTTAAGTTTATTGGTGTATACTTGTCTAATTTGATTGCCTAAGAACAATTTCCATATATATTATTCATGTTTGTTTATTGCAGGAACTGCTTGAGGTTGGCCAAAGAAAACAAGATTCAGTACATTGCTTTTCCTGCCATATCTTGTGGCTTGTTCGGGTAAGTTAAACACATTCAACACAAATTTATTGTTGATTGTATGTTGCAAGTCTTCTGTATTAATTATGATGCTTGATGACTCATTAAATTCTTTTGAATAATTGATTAGTTATCCTCTTGAGGAAGCCGCCACAATAGCTATTTCTACAGTCAAAGAATTTGCAGAGGACTTTAAAGAGGTACCATACATTAGTGTTAATTCTGGCATTGGGTTGGCGTTTGTACTTTTGTTTATCATATTAATGTTATTAGTAAATTTCTTTCTCAGATTGGTTATGCCAAATCGTGTTACTTTAAAAACTTTGTCACTTATGTCAATTGCTCATTGCAGGTGCACTTTATTCTGTTCACAGATGACATCTATGATATTTGGTTTAGGAAGGCGAAGGAAATACTCCAACTTGAAGCATAATGGTGTGTTGGCAGCCAGAATCACTGAAACAATGAACTATTCATGTCTCTTGTTATTGTTGTAAATAATCTGATTCATATCAAAGGGTAATATGTTACTAAAATGATAGAAATGTTTCATTCATGTCATCAACAGTTATAGAATGCAGTGGAAATAAATCTACACTAACCTCCTGCCATATAGCAATCTGTTGTAGATTCTGGCAATGCACTGTAATAACTAAGCGATGGTTTTTGGGTATGTCAGATAAAAACAGAACTGCAAGGGACCTATAACTTCTCATTTTTTTTAAATACGCAAAAGTAGACAACTATGAATAAGATATAAGGGAATGTTTATCTAAGCTTATAAGCTGGTTAAATTAGTTTATAAGCTCTAAAATTAAGTTGACCTGTTTGTTTATAACATTTTTGAGTTTATACGTTGAGCTTATTATAAGCTGGTTAAATTAGTTTATAAGCTCTAAAATTAAGTTGACCTGTTTGTTTATAACATTTTTGAGTTTATACGTTGAGCTTATAAGCAAAAAAAAATTAGTTGGGGGGGGAGGTACTTTTTTTTTTTTTTGCTTATAAGCACTCTGTTTATAAGTTAGTTTGACCAAGTATATTACCACATTATCCTTATTTAATTTTAAAATTTCATAGTACACCCTTATTTAATGTAGTACCATTTTTAGTCATTTTATAATAAAATGTACTTATAAGCCACATTTTACCAAACACGTCAACTACTTATCAGTTACTTATAAATACTTTAACTAAACACGTAATTGCTTAAAATTTCAAATGTTTTAGCTTATAAGCACTTGCTAATTTTCATAAGCTCAAATAAACACCCCCTAAGTGTTAGCAGTTGCTTATTTACCAAAACTACAATTTAGTAAAGTGCAAGACCCATTAACGAATAATGAATAATTTAGTTTGGGTCAATTCAAAGTCTACCACTACAAAAATTTAGTTTANATTACCCCGTAAGTTATTCCACCATAACTTCTATTATCTTTTTCCATAATCAGATTCAGAATACTAATTAACAGATTGAAACTATCCAGAGGTTTTAAATTGCCAGCATCTCATGTGATTTTTACCGTTGGCCCTATATATCATTTTGATCAAAACCCTGAGGCCTCCCTGAGAAGTGCATACAAGTATGCTTAGTTGAATTTATTTATTTATTTATTTTTTTAAGTTTATTGGTGTATACTTGTCTAATTTGATTGCCTAAGAACAATTTCCATATATATTATTCATGTTTGTTTATTGCAGGAACTGCTTGAGGTTGGCCAAAGAAAACAAGATTCAGTACATTGCTTTTCCTGCCATATCTTGTGGCTTGTTCGGGTAAGTTAAACACATTCAACACAAATTTATTGTTGATTGTATGTTGCAAGTCTTCTGTATTAATTATGATGCTTGATGACTCATTAAATTCTTTTGAATAATTGATTAGTTATCCTCTTGAGGAAGCCGCCACAATAGCTATTTCTACAGTCAAAGAATTTGCAGAGGACTTTAAAGAGGTACCATACATTAGTGTTAATTCTGGCATTGGGTTGGCGTTTGTACTTTTGTTTATCATATTAATGTTATTAGTAAATTTCTTTCTCAGATTGGTTATGCCAAATCGTGTTACTTTAAAAACATTGTCACTTATGTCAATTGCTCATTGCAGGTGCACTTTATTCTGTTCACAGATGACATCTATGATATTTGGTTTAGGAAGGCGAAGGAAATACTCCAACTTGAAGCATAATGGTGTGTTGGCAGCCAGAATCACTGAAACAATGAACTATTCATGTCTCTTGTTATTGTTGTAAATAATCTGATTCATATCAGAAATTCAGTTTCTTACTGAGGGTATTATGTTACTAAAACTGATAGAAATGTTTCATTCATGTCATCAACAGTTATAGAATGCAGTGGGAATAAATCTACACTAACATCCTGCCATATAGCAATCTGTTGTAGATTCTGGCAATGCACTGTAATAACTAAGCGATGGTTTTTGGGTATGTCAGATAAAAAAGAATTGCAAGGGACCTATACACGAAAGTATTTCTATTAAAGACAACTGTGAATAAGATGTAAGTGTCAGCAGTTACTTATTTACCAAAACTACAATTTAGTAAAGTGCAAGACCCATTAACGAATAATGAATAATTTAGTTTGGGTCAATTCAAAGTCTACCACTACAAAAATTTAGTTTAATATATTGGACGTTAATTTAGCCGTGTAAATGGTGTGAAATATGGGTGTAATTGAAGAGGTTTCACAATTCATTATTGTGTAATAGTGGTCACTCATGAATGAGGTCATTGAACTCGCTTGTTGAGAGTTCAGCGAATGCTTTGTACAAGGTTTTGACAACCCATTGCTGGTTTCTGAAATTAGGAGCCATTGCAGACGTTTACTCGGCCAATAATATCGTAAGTGGGTACACAAAATGCAAGGAGTTGAGCTTCGCTTGCAAACTGTTCGAAGAAATGTCTCACAGGGACACTGTTTCTTGGAACACGATGATCGCTGGGTTTGTAAACTCTGGGAACTTGGAGATCGCTTGGGACTTTCTAAAAACCATGAGAAAACGTGGGTTTTATGCTGATGGCCATACCTTTGGAAGTGTACTTAAAGGTGTTGCTTGTGCCTTGAGGCTTGATCTTGGGCAACAAGTACATTCATTGATTTTTAAAGTGGGTTTTGACGAGAACGTTTATGCAGGGAGTGCTCTTTTGGATATGTATGCAAAGTGTAAGAGGGTTGATGATGCATATTTAGTATTTCAGTGCATACCAGAGCGCAATTATGTCACTTGGAATGCGTTGATTGCTGGGTTTGTGCAAGTGGGTGATCGTGAGGCTGCGTTTTGGCTGTTAGATTGTATGGAGAGGGACAGCGTGAGGGTTGATGATGGCACATTTGCTCCACTTATTACATTGCTTGATGATGTTGAGTTTTATAGATTAACCTTGCAGATTCATGGTAAGATTCTGAAGCATGGTCTAGAATTTGATAATACTTTGTGCAATGCAATGATCACTTCCTATTCAGAATGTGGTTTAGTTGAAGAAGCTAAAAAAGTGTTTGATGGTGCTGTTGGCGCCCGGGATTTGGTTACATGGAATTCTATGCTCGCTGCTTATTTGGCACATGATGAAGAAGAACTTGCTTTTAGGCATTTTCTTGATTTGAAAGAGACTGGATTGGATCCTGACATCTATACTTATACTAGTGTCATAAGTGCATGTTTTGAAGAATCACATAAAAACCATGGAAAATCTTTGCATGGCTTGGTGATAAAAAGGGGACTGGAACTGTCAGTTCCCATCTCCAATGCACTTATAGCCATGTATATAAAATCAAATAATAAGTCCATGGAAGATGCTTTGCATGTATTCAACTCCATGGAATCCAAGGACCGTATCTCTTGGAATTCCATATTGACCGGATTGTCTCAGTTTGGTTTCAGTGAAGATGCATTGAAGATTTTTGAGCATATGAGATCTTCACTTGTCGAGATTGATCACTATGCCTTTTCGGCTGTACTTAGATCTTGTTCAGATTTAGCAACTCTCCAACTGGGTCAACAGGTTCATGTCTTGGCAACTAAATCAGGTTTTGAGTCGAATGATTTTGTTGCCAGTTCATTGATTTTCATGTACTCCAAGTGTGGGATAATCGAAGACGCTCGTAAATCTTTTGAAGAGACGTCCAAAAGCAGCTCCATTACTTGGAACTCCATTATTTTTGGGTATGCACAACATGGACAGGGAAATGTTGCACTTGATCTCTTCTTCCAAATGAGAGAGAAAAAAGTGAAGCTGGATCATATAACCTTTGTTGCAGTTCTAACAGCATGCAGCCATATTGGTCTGGTAGAACAAGGACAACATTTCCTTAAATGGATGGAATCCGATTATGGCATTCCACCTCGCATGGAGCACTATGCTTGTGCCATTGATCTCTTTGGACGTGCTGGACGACTTCATGAAGCAAAATCCTTGATTGAATCAATGCCATTTGAGCCTGATGCAATGGTGTGGAAAACTTTTCTAGGTGCCTGCAGAGTTTGTGGCAACATTGGACTAGCTAATCAGGTAGCAACCCATCTGCTAGAACTAGACCCTGAAGAGCATTGCACTTATGTTCTGTTATCCCACATGTATGGACGTCTTAAGAGATGGGATGACAAAGCCAATATAACAAGGCTAATGAGGGAAAGAGGAGTGAAAAAGGTCCCTGGTTGGAGTTGGATAGAGGTTAAAAATGAAGTCCATGTTTTCAATGCTGAAGATAGGTCCCACCCTCATTGTGCTGAGATATACAACACACTGGGAGAATTGATGGATGAAATCAAATGGCTGAATTCTGATGCTAGTTTACATGTTTTGGTGCATGGTTTCACTGAATGGGCAAGAAAACAAAAAAATAAATAAAATCAACTTGTTTATGTAAAGAGAAAAATAGCATCAAATCAGTGCAAATTTTTGTGTCTTATTTTATACCAATTTACTTTGAATAGAGCACTACAGCTGAGATTCGTCAGAATTCCTATCTGAAACTGATGAGAACCCACTCCAGTAACTCAACAATTTGGGCTAGGCTATGGGTCTTTCATGGGCTTGGTAGAACTCTCCTTAGAAAACCGGCTTGCCAGGGAGGGTGCCCAAGCCTTTATAACCCACATGCCCACCCTTTTCCCTTTCAATGTGGGATCCAACATTCCACCACGCTTCCGCAACCGACGTCCACGTCGGCCTCTTTACCCCCGTCGGCCTCTTTACCCTTGGATGACTATGCGGATTCCCTTTTCCCTCGGGCCTCCATGCCCTTTCTCGGGGTAGCAGCCCGGGCCTAAGTCAGCCTGCCACGCGTGCGCTGCCACATAGGCGTAGGATCAGGCTCTGATACCAATTGATGAGAACCCACTCCAATAACTCAACAATTGGGCTAGGCCATGGGTCTTTCATGGGCTTGGTAGAACTCTCCTTGGAAAACCGCTTGCCAAGGGAGGGTGCCCAAGCCTTTATAACCCATGCCCATCCTTTTCCCTTCAATGTGGGATCCCAACATTTGATACCATTGATGAGAATCCACTCCAATAACTCAACAATTTGGGCTAGGCTATAGGTCTTCATAGGCTTGAGTAGAACTCTCCTTAAACCGGCTTGCCAAGGGAGGGTGCCCAGCCTTTATAACTCACATGCCCACCCTTTTCCCTTTCAATGTGGGATCCGAAACCAAAACCAATCAATCATGGCGGACATATGATAATGAAGGAGGTTGAAGTTGACCGAGGGCTTCTCGTATCTTTGAGTAGTGATATAAGTGGAGACGGGATAATGACAGGAACTTGATTCTGGGTTTGGTAATATTATTGTGTTGATAATGTACCTGTTGTTCCTGGAGAAAAGTTGGAGGAGCTGAGGTGTTATTCACAAGATGTATGGTCAGATTGGTGTTATTAAGGAAGACGGTTATGGATGCCGTGTTGATCCTGAAACCCAGAGACTCTAGGTTACTGCTTCATTGAGTATATACCCCACAGGTATTTATTTATATTGAATTGTAATTTAGAATTCCTTGCATGCTGAGGTTGGTGTATGAAACTCTGATTCAACTTTGGTTTCTGATGTAGGAAGCTGAGGTTGCCGAGAAAAACCAATGGGTACAAGTTGACAAGGCGCATAATTTTGCCGTGAATATGTTTGATGACTTTGATAAGTTCTTCGTGCCAAGTGCAAGAAGTAGCCCTTTCCAAACACCTTGTTCAGCGTGCTTGATTGAAGGCACTTGAACCACTGAACTATCACTGAATGACTGGGCGGAATGCTTTTTCTTTCATTTCATTTCCCGAGATGAATCCATCCCCGAGAAGAAGGCATGGGAGCACTCCCCTAATGATCTATCTCGCTTGGTTAATATGAGTTCCAATTGACTGTGAGAGAAATAGCATCCTCATAACTGGTGCAAAATCTAAAATTCTTTCATTAAGATATTTGGTTAGTTCAATAGGATTCAATATTTCATCTGTTTACGTGTTCTAAATTAATTTTAACCCACCCGTGGGTAGTGAAGGGGTCAGAAATGGTATAATCCATAGTCTCAAGCTCAATTAGACGCATGATTTATTTTGGGGATTATGACGGTAGATTATTGTGGGATAGCATTCTGCGGATTATAAATTAGAAATACAAACAAAGTATTTTTTTTTTTTTTTAAAGTTCAAATAATATTTAAACTTTGAAATTATTTTATTTTTCATATAAAAAAAGGACTTCGAGATTTTATAAAAAACAAAGAGATGAAAGAGGGTGGAAAATGTAATATAATATTTCATTAATTACAAACTAGAAATCTAAATATAACTATCATTTCTAATAACTTTAAATATGGAGATAATTTGTGTAAAGAAATAAAATCGGTGTATTTAATTATTGGGGTGACCAATTAAATAAAATTTATTTATTAAAATATGTAGTGTGTTTTATAGTAAATAAATATAATTTCTCTTTGATTTAAAGTAATAGTCCTAAAGTAACGAAGAGAAAGGAACAACTCCATTCCGCAAACAAGATGGATTAAAATTATATTGGGCCTAATACAACCTGGACCAATTCAATCCAATCCACACTCTTTTAGTTTTTGATTAACACTCCGCCTGAGCCAAAAACCCTAGAACTCTCTTGCTCTTTCTCTCACTCTGCGCAAAGGGCATCAATCTCTTATCGTCTACAGAGCACTACAGCTGGGATTCGGCAGAATTCCTGGCTGAAACTAAAACCAATAGCAATCATGGGGGACGTTCTGATTATGAACCAGACGGAGGAGCTGGCTTCTCGTCTCGGCATCGATCTCACTCAAGTTGATCTCGATTCTGTTCACGTCCCACCCGGCGAAAATTGTGGCATCATTAGGTATGATAGTTCACGCGTCTCTACTCTATTCTTACCTTCGTTTGGTTTGCTTGCCAAGGAGCTGTAGGAAATTAATAGAAAATTTAATTCCTTATTTTTATGCTGCTGTGTTTGAGTGCTGTTTTGTGATTACCTGGCTTCGTGGAGTTCAGTGTCTGTTATTGTTTATTAAATCTAAACGCTGTGAAAACTTAAGCTAAATAAATTAGGGTTTTGTTTTTAGGTTTAAGGTAAATCACGCATGTTGTTCTACGTTGAGGTTATTTCCTGTTGGATAAATACATATTTTTTTCCAAGGCCAAACAAACAATAATATGGAACAGATGGACCGAACTTTTACCCTACAACTTCTGCGTGGCCTTACTAAGCTTTAACACGTCTGAGTATAATACTGAAAGTTTTCTCTATTTTCGTTTCCTCTGTTTTTATTTTTAATTTCTGTCGGTTAAATTTTCTGTTTACTTTCATAACTCATTTGTGTGTGATTTAATTATGGTCTATTGTATTCTTTTGAGTAGTGATGATGACGATGTATACGAAGATGATCAGCAGGAACTTGATTCTGGGTTTGGTAATATTATTGTTGTTGATAATCTACCCGTTGTTCCTCGAGAAAAGTTTGAGAAGCTTGAAGGTGTTATTCGCAAGATCTATAGTCAGATTGGTGTTATTAAGGAAGATGGATTATGGATGCCCGTTGATCCTGAAACCCAGAAGACTCTAGGTTACTGCTTCATTGAGTATAATACCCCTCAGGTATTTATATTGAATTGTAATTTAGGATATTTTGAATGGCAGTTGCTCTTTTCTCAAGGTTTTAACTCTAAGCTGTAGATGCTGGTGCATGAAATACTAATTCAACTTTGGTTTCTGTTGTAGGAAGCTGAGCTTGCCAAGGAGAAAACTAATGGTTACAAGTTGGACAAGGCGCATATTTTTGCGGTGAATATGTTTGATGACTTTGATAAGTTTATGAAAGTTCCAAATGAGTGGGCTCCACCAGAATTTAAGCCATATACACCAGGGGTAATTCTTTTAATAAGTAATTTACTTGTTATATTTACCCTTTTTTTTTCTCTGTGTGAGCTGATGTTACTTGCTTGTATATCATATCAGGAGAATCTCCAGCAGTGGCTCACTGATGAAAAAGCACGAGATCAGTTTGTGATTCGTGCTGGCACTGATACTGAGGTTTTATGGAATGATGCAAGGCACTTGAAGCCTGAGCCTGTTTACAAGCGCACTGTGAGTGAACTCCCCATTTGCCTGACGTTATCGAATGACACTGCATTAATATCTATAGTTGTATCTCTTTTTGTTATTTCAAAAATATTGTTTCTATACAACATAAGTCACAGTTTCCTTTTTTATTAAATGATGGTTTGATGAATGACTATAGTCTGTTTCCTTCACAGTACTGGACCGAAAGTTTTGTGCAGTGGTCCCCTCTAGGTACTTACCTGGCCACAGTTCACAGGCAGGGTGCTGCTGTTTGGGGAGGTGCTGCTACTTTCAATCGCTTAATGCGTTATGCTCATCCTCAGGTGAATTTTTATTCTTGTTTCATACTGTATCTAGCCTTATCTCTGGCTCTTCTTCTATAAAGTCTTACTGGCACAATTGCAGGTTAAACTGATTGATTTTTCTCCTGGTGAGAAATATTTGGTTACTTACAGCAGCCAGGAACCAAGTAATCCTCGTGATGCGAATGTGAGATGTTTTTACTCCACTTATTTCTACTTCTTTTTATTGTTGATTATTACCTCTGAGCTGTTCCTCATGTGGACTGAATTTAACTTTTAGAGGGTTGTTTTAAACATCTTTGATGTGAGAACTGGGAAAGTGATGAGAGATTTTAAAGGAAGTGCTGATGAGTATGCAGTTGGAGGAACAGGAGGTGTTGCAGGAGTGTCTTGGCCTGTTTTCAGGTGATTTTTCTTTCTAAGCAATCTACTTGGAGCTGTGAAGAGCTTTGTTTTTGTCTTCTATGTAAAAAATCTTCTCCAGTACTGATGGATTAGTATGTAAATTTTCCAGATGGGGTGGCGGGAAAGATAAGTATTTTGCCAAACTTGGGAAAAATGCGATCTCTGTCTATGAAACTGAGACCTTCACTCTTATTGACAAGAAATCCTTGAAGGTTGAAAATGTTATGGACTTCAGCTGGTCCCCAACTGATCCTATTCTTGCACTGTTTGTTCCTGAGCTTGGTGGTGGAAACCAGCCTGCTAGGGTGAGTACTTACTTAAATATGGAGTTGCATTTATATTTTCATATGATTAGTTCTTATGTCCGTCTTTCATCTATTTCCTAGGTGAGTCTTGTCCAAATCCCCAGCAAAGAGGAGTTGAGGCAGAAGAACCTTTTCAGTGTCAGTGACTGTAAGATGTACTGGCAAAGCAATGGAGAGTATCTTGCTGTCAAGGTTGATCGCTATACAAAAACCAAAAAAAGCACATACACTGGCTTTGAGTTGTTCCGAATTAAAGAAAGAGACATACCCATTGAGGTTTTGGAGCTTGATAATAAGAATGACAAGATCATCGCCTTTGCCTGGGAGCCAAAGGGCCACAGGTTTGCGGTTATTC